GAATGCAAACATTCAACAATTTACAAGCGGACTGCATCTACTTCGTGGTAATGTAGCATTGCATTATGTGTTCATGGATTACTGTTAGTCACTGGTTTACATTCAAAGATGCATGCTAATGGTGCAATGACTGTGGAGGTCGCAACTTATGATTTTTTTATATTTATCTCCTTATATTAGTAACAAAAATCAGTGGCAATTTAATAATATAGTATATGGACATGAAGGAAATAAACAATATAGGTTCCTTCTGCATTCAGCAACATAATATTCTTTGGTTGGGGGTGAAGTTTTGCTTCAAGTAGAGGAGTTCAAGTATCTTGAGGTAATTGTTCACGAGTGAGGGAAGAATGGAGCAGGATTGGTACAGAGTCTGCAGTTTTGCAGACCCTGTACCGATCTGTTGTGGTGAAGAGGGAGCTAAACTGCAGGCAAAATTATCTGTTTACCAGTCAGTCTACATTCCTATCATCCCCTATGGCCACAAACTTTGGGTCGTGACCAAAAGACCAAGATCGTGGACACAAGCAGTCGGAATGAGTTTTCTCCGTAGTGTAGCTGGACTCTCCCCTAGAGATACGGTGAGAAGTTCAGTTATCCAGGAGAGACTCAGATTAGAGCTGCTGCTCCTCCTCAGTGAAAGGAACCAGTTGAGGTGGTTCAGGTATCTGGGAAGGATGTCTCTTAGGTGATTCCCTATGGAGGTGCTTCAGCCATGTCCAACTGGGAGGAGACCTCGAGGAAGACCCAGGACACCGTGGTGAGACTGTCTCTCAGCTGGCCAGGGAACATCTTGGTGTCCTCCTAAAAGAGCTGGAAGATGGGCTGGGTAAAGAGAAATTTGTCCTTTCTTGCTCAAGCTGCTGCCCTCGCGACCCGACTTCAGATAAAGCGAAAGATAATGAATGGATGGATGGTATAATTACTTACCAGAAGAAGCATAAAAAATGCCCATCTTTTTTGCAGCAAAATTTTAAACTTAGTAATGGTTTGGACTTTTTTGAAATTTCTAGTTGTTCAGTGAAATTGAATTGCTAAACTGAGAATAATTTATATAGGATACAATTGAATAAGCTCAGGTAATTATGTTAAATGGTAAACTAATTGCAAAAAATGAAAAAAAATAGTAATAGTTTTAATACAATTTTAACATCAACAGATACTAAAATTTGAGAGGTCAAGAATGGAAGACATAAATATCTATTTATTCATGTACAATATGAATTTATGATCAGTTTTACAGTATATATCACTATTTGGAGTTTAAAATCAATGTGGRACCATGACTTTTCAGAAAGTGTCTGTAAATAAAAGAATATGAGCATCAAACAACCACTTTTGTTCAGAGCATGTGCTCATTTGTTGACGCACAATAATAAGTATGGAAGCTCACTAAACACACACATTTCATTATTTATTTTAAATTTATTTTTAGTGTATGTCTATGCAAGAATTGTATGCATTTTAATATTTTAGAAATTCCCAACCAGGGACTGGAGTTGCATATTATCTGTARCTATATACTCAYTGTGCAACACATCAGTTCCAGACTTGATCTGTTCTATGTTTGTGTGCATTATCCCTGCCAAATAAACTAATAAATCAAATAAATCATGTTGTAACCAGCCTATACAGTACATAAAACCAGCACACAAAACTTCACACAACTTCACATAACCTTGCCYTCAGAAACGTCAAGTAAGGCCAACCATTTGTTGGACCTCGTTCAAAAAAATGCCACATAGGTTTGTTGTGCTGTGAATAGTGATTTGACCTCAAGCAAGCCATTGGAATTGGTCACTTCACTGCTGGTGACTGTGACTAAAGGCAGTTAGGAGTCAGGTCCAACGTCTCATGCTTGGTTAAAACCACTGAGAAGACGAGGACACATTATTTGATGCTGCCGTGCCCTTTATCCCTTAGGCCAAAGCAAGGTTACTTTCACACACACTTGACTTACACAAGTGACAAGGAAAAATGGTTGAACTTCAAGCCCTTGATCTGGCATTTTGTATTTGTATTGCCACTTATTATATCATAAAGTAGCTCTTATTTGCATAAATGTATTGTGGTAAATGCTGGTTGTCAGGCAAATGGGTAACTCACACAAATAAAAACAAAAGGTGACAAAAAATCTTTATTGTCACTGGGCACCACACTGTCCAAGTGTCATAAATAATTAGCACTTATATAGTTTATGTTTATGCCTTAAAAATAGTTAAAAGCAGTGTTGTGTTTCCCCTCAAACCAACAAGTGGGAGTGTGTTTGTGTGTGTGCAATGATTTCTGAAAAATAAAAAAAATAAAAAAAGACTTTATGCACGCATGTGGAGGTCAGTAATTACCAGAGCGGCAAACAGGGTTTTAAAGGTAATAGGATGGCTATGAGTGCTCCATTTTCCATAAATGGCACGTTCTTTGTGGGTCATTTTATGAAGGCCGTTAAACTTTATTGCTTGATATTTTCATGCAGAAAAAAATGCAATAATGCTTTTATTGAAAAAAAAAGAATATGTACATAAACAAAGATGAACATAGGCCATACAAACTGTTAATTAAATAATGATGGTCAATCATTAAATGCATCCAAGCTTCATATTTGTATTCCCATWCAAAAGAATAAAAGATGGCCTTAAAAACATGCCTTGTATTTTCTGAAAGTACTTTCATGACTTTAATGAATCTATAAAACTTATAAGATAATAAGGATGTGGACATCAGCATACAGACAACTGTGTTCCTATATTTAGGATTACAGCATGGGAATGATCTTTAAAAAATGCAGCTCTTAGTAAACTTAATTGGATTTTTTTTTCTTTTTAAACTTGTGTGACCATCTGTATTTATTTTTTTCACTCTAGGCCATTGCACACACTCGCCAATGAATATCAAGGCAAAAACAGCAGCTCTTCCCCTTGAAGTGGAAAACTGATTTAAACATTTGAAATAGATAGTGGCAGATGGGRAAAAATATATTCCTTACAACTTTAGCAAAATGCAAATGTCTCCTTCACACTTTATTCTAAAAGAAACAACTTCTCTCAGCATTTAGAAAATGGCTTGGATGTGCAGTGACACCTTTGGTATCTTACATTTGTAGACAAGACAGAATATTTACATCCTCTGTACATAATGAACTGTGGACTGTTGCTCTCAGTGACTATTTAGCACATTATGTCAAATTGTTCTGATGTGAGTTCGCAGAACAGAGCTCATCTAGCTCACAGCATAGATATCTTTTTATTGGGAAGCATTTCTTTGTAACAGCTTTGAATATCCCACATATGGAGTTTGCGAGGAAGTATTGCATTTGAAATATACATCCCCTGACACCTTATTTAAAAAATTCACACATGCCATACCCTTACTTTTGGAAGTCAAAATGCTCAGTCATTGAAATAGCTGCAGGAAGTTATGCTAATTGTTTCCCCAAAGTTTTTTTTTTCATACGAGAATGTCAGTCAGCATTTCGAGAAAGTACGTAACAATCTTTTTTTAACATTTTAGAGATTAACCTGACAAAACAGTATGACATTTGCAAGGATTGCCAAGAGCTTTAGTTTTAAATTGTAAAACGTTATTCTTATTATTTAATTTGTATGTAAATCGGACAGCATCGTGTTTGGCCTTATGAAACTCTTTTACATTTATTTTTTTCCTATTTTTGTTTTTTATATAATTTTCTGGAAAAAATATCATAAAACATGAATTTCAGAGAATGAAAAACAGAAAAAGATGAAGTTTTGAAAAAAAGAGTCGCATCTGCTAAAACTTTTTTCATAAATTTTAAGTTTCTTCCTGTTGAACAGTTAACATTTTA